GCGAGTGTGTCGGGGGGAAGGTCCAGCCTCTGGAAGTGGGCGTGTAGGAGAGCCCTGGCCTTGACACTGTAAGGATAACACAGGGGCTTCTCCTTGTTCTTCTCATCTAGGTTAGGCAAGCGTTTAATCAGCTGAAAAAGAAAGACTATTTTGAGAACTTTAATAATTTTCACCCTATTTCAGCACAATTTCAGACAAACTTGTATCCAAATGAGATTTTGGCAAATGTTTGATCAATTATCAAGAAATTAGGATATTTTTTTATAAGTCTAATTACTTTACACTAGTACTTCAAGAAAATTTTACACAAACTTTTATGAGATGAAATTTAATAACACAGAAATAAATACATTTAAAACTACTGTTCATCATTATATACTCAACTTGGTCGGACTCCTTGTTATCGAACTAATTAAAATTTGTATAACCACATTATTTTTCTCTTTGAAGAATCTGTACAGTACATGGTATTACAAATTTTATTGTCTTACCATGGGCACCTCCTCATTATCACTGGGTCTCTCTACAATCTCAGCATTGTGGAATTTGTCAAACTCAAAGGAGCCAGCTAACACCATTATCACTCCTGCACAACACAGAGACACTCAATTATTATTGTTTTAAAATCATTTTTTAAAATCTATGCTGGAAGTCTGTCTCTATGTTTTCAGTACAAAGGCTGCATTTAAATGGGTTTAGACTAGAAGAGATTAAAACTGAAGAATAATTCTTTAGGAAACTCATGTATACAATTAAAACCTACATTATCTTGAATAATTACAGATAATTTGTTCAGAAAAAAATCAACAATGGTACATCATGTATATTCTATTACATTAATTATGCCTTTCTTATTTAGGCCATCATTTTTTAATAAGCTGTTTTACGGGACCGCCGACCCTAATTTGGGCTAAAATGAAATAAAAATAAAAGTATCTTCTTCAAGTTTTATTTTTGTTTCTCCCGCCGATAGCTTATTTATAGTCACTGAAAAAATAAAAGAAACGTCCATAAACTTTTTACAAGCCTTTCAAAACGTGAATTGTCATTGGCTAAGGTAAATATATTCATCCAATCACAGTTGACAAAACAAATGAGCATGAATGTGAAGCGTGGATAGTCACTGCATAGCATAACAGTTAGCGGCAAAATGTCAGAATCGTATTGTTTAAATTTAATATATTTTTAAAGTGCCTCAGTCATTTTTTAATAGTGATATGTCATTTATTAGTAAAAGGTAATAATTTCAGATTAACTTTTAATGAAAGATTGAATAAAATAGACGAAACATTAATCTTGATCAAATGTTATGCTGAGGGCCATGTGGAAGTGGAGGTTCTGTCAACCTCTTGTTTTGAGAGGTTTTAAGTATGTATTATCTGTGACATTTGTTCCAAAGGATTGAAATAGGGTTTGAAGATTGTTCTGAAACTTATTTTTATGACAATCATGTTTTCTTTTACATGTAACGACTGAACAGAACACTGTAGAAAGTGGCGTGACTGAGGAAATTCGAGTCACAACTTTCACTCGCTAATATCATATTAATCACACATATTACGATTCAAAATGGAATTTTGCTTGTTATGTAACAAATTAATGTACATCAGCGTGAAAATAACAGCTTTCTTTGTAAAAAAAAAAAACAAATAGAGAAAAACAAAGCTACAGATGATACGTCCATACAAATATATGACCAATTTTTTTAATTCAAAAGTTGTGGATTAGAACAAGTTTTAACAAATATTCGAATTCTGCAGTAAACCAGGGACCTATATACTAATATATAGGTCCCTGAGTAAACAGAGTAATTGTCATTGCCTATTTTACATGTATATAGTTATGGTAAAAATGTGTATTTTCTGCAGTTATGTACATTGAAAGTTGTAGCATTCAGGCAATTTGAATGTTTTCAAGAGAAAGATAAGATATGTTATATGTTTGTAATCCACCTATGTGTATATTAATTTAAATTTTTTCTTTAAATTATAGTCCCACTTGTGGAATAATTTAACTGATCCATTAAAAGCCTCACTATATTCTTGCCATTTGGTCATAGCTACTCATAAATCCTCAAATCTTATTATCTAATGAATACCAAAAAAATATGATAAAATTGTTTCGCGTGCATTTATAACAACCTTTTCTGACAAATTAAGGTAATAAAACAATTCCATTCTTAATTTAAGAAATAAAAAAATTGTTACATTTTTTTGTTTTATTTTTATTTTTCTGACCGACTGCTTGAATTTAAAGGTTTTATTTTTATTTTAATTTAGACCCCCGACTCAAATTTTTGAAAAAAATTCCCGTAAAACAGTAAATAAAAAAATGTTGGCCTTAGAGAATATGGTATCCTATAAAACTAGTGGTGACTTCGCACTGTACATCACATTTGCACAGAAACACTGTACAGGCATACTTACGTTTCAGAATCATGTTGGGGTTTTTCTGGAAGAAGTAGTAGTAGAGCCTGGTGGTGTCTAATAGGACCTGGTCCTTAGAGAACTTGATGGAGCGGTACCACCACACACCCTGTATACAAAGATAACAGTAAACATAATTACCTAATAGACAATGATTAGCAGAAATGTGTGCACATAAATGTCACTGTCATCAGTTTGATAAATATATGCAGTTTGAATTTTCTTTTAAATGAGGAAGAGTTAATTGCAAAGGATCATTTTTCTAAAAATGATGCATCATGTGCATACAAATACATAAATTATTGAAACTACCCTTATAAATTGCTATCATTATATGATAAATTTGTTAAAATAGTTACATGGCACTTTGTTTTCATACAAATCCTGTTTGAGGAAAGTGTGACTGTGATTATGTTCTACTTACCACAACAACGGGCAGGAGGACCATGAATAACAGACCATACACTAACAGGACCTAGAGGAATAGAACAGCATCAGACATTATAGAAATTATCAACTACGGTATATAAGGTCCTTAACAGAACAGACCATACCCCAACAGGACCTAGAGGAATAGAACAGTCAGTAACAGCCATTACAGAAACTGTCAACTACAGTATATAAGGTTCTTAACAGACCATAAACCAAAAGTACCGAGAGGGATAGAACAGTAACAGCCATTTAACTCTTTACAACTTACTGAACTGTTATGCAACATACACTTAATGTTCACATCATAGAAATATGACGTTACATTTTCCCCCCAAGTACTTTATAGCACAGTACAAGTTTCTCTTAAGTTTAGCATATATAATATTACATGTATGACAATGACATGATATTTTAATAAGAAAATAACTTTTCTTATTTAATGAGACTTTAGTATGTATAAAATTGAAGGAAATTGGCATTAAATTAAAGATTAAATGTACTTTTTAAAGTGGTTGAAAAATGTGTGATTACAGAGAAATGGTATATGTGTGATTTTGTGATAGAAATGGTACATGTATATGGGTTAAAATGTGTGACTGCAGGGAAGGGTTAACTAAGTATCAACTCTGTAAAGGACCTTAACTCTTAAAACAATTTTTTCATAAAATAACTTTTTAAATTCTGTATTGAACATCATTTTGACGAAGCAATATGATTATTAGAATAAAGCATTCTTATTCAAAATTTCTAATATTAAATTATCTTGCAGCTGTTAAAAAAATCATCTTTAAGTTAGTGAGAAAGAATTCTCTTTTACTGAAATTCACTTATAAGCATTTGTTAAAAAAATTTCAGAAAAAAGCATGTATGATATGCTGTATGTACAGTTGAACATGATTATAACGAAGTGCTAAGGAACAACATTTAGCTTTGTTATAAGCATATTTCATTTTATCCCATGTTTACTCCTTTATCCCATAAAAATTATATATTACTTCAAATCATTGGAGATCCTTTATATATCCAGCAAGTTTACAATATATAGTAAGTCATTAAGCTTATCTAAAATACTTCACTTTTCTAATGACATTTTTGATAGTATAGAGGCAATTTAAGCTCAGTAAGCTTTAAATATTCTACAAAAATAAATTAACTTGCATCATATTGCATATAAATATCACTGATAGAAAACACTGGCCAACTCTAGGAGAAAAAAGCTGAAGTGAATTAGCAAGCTATAAACACCAACTTTAAAACACCCACATTATTTACTCCCACCCCCCATGTTGAATAAATTTTCCCCCTTAACCTATATAAGTTATGTATAGGCTAGCCAACTCGCACAGATTAATTATTGCTTTATCAATAACACAGAAATGAATCACATGGGAAAAGAGCCATGTAATTTCAGATGGAATAACAACTCACAAAATTCTCTTTTTGATACTATAAGCAAAGGAAGCAAGAAAACTAGCTTGGATTCTTTTCTTTTGAACAGGACCTACTTTTTCTAAATTCAAATACACTGCACTAGCATTATTAGTTTCATAGTTTTTTTAATGACAGGGTATGGGATGATACCTGGTGAGTAAATTTCATGCCTGGCGAGGCGGAGCCAAGTCTCGTATGAAATTGACTAACCAGGTATCATCCCGTACCCTGTCACTAAAGAACTATGAAACGAATTTACCCCACTGATGAAACACTTATGTATTATCTGCTTATTATAATTATTTTTCTCTGCTTATTATAATTATTTTTCTCTGCTTATTATAATTAATAATTTTTCTCTGCTTATTATAATTATTTTTCTCTGCTTATTATAATTATTTTTCTCTGCTTATTACAATTATTTATTCGACGCTTATACTGTGCCTCATGACCTCACATTGTGTTAGTTACTGTCTACTGGGTAAAAGTATTCCACCTCCTTCATGTGACAGACTTCAACCATTGAATCGCAAGCCAGGATTTTGTCGAAAAATCAACAGAGGTGGGGTAAACATAATATGTACAAATACTATCCTACGCAGCACTTTTTCATACCCATTTGGCATTGTGTTTTTCAACCAGCCACTTTGGTAGAGCCCATCCCCAGGTTATGGCTGAAATAATTCAATCAATCACAACTTTTTAATTACTCTATAATTATAACACAAAGTCTGACCTACCCACATAGAATTCTGCTTCTCCACAATCCACTTGGGCAAAGCTATACCAAATCTGGTGACTAAAAAAATTCTTTCCATACAGTGAAGTTTAAACAGATAAAGTTAACCATTCCTATAATTTCATTCACAATATTCATTTCAAATAATATAAATTAATAATGAAATAATTGAATATTCATTCCAATTCTATCATGTTTATTTTCAAATTCAATACTGGATAATTATATATTGCTGGTAGATCATAGATCAATCAATTTTGCTAAATGCAGCTATGCTTAACATGTATTCAAATGATATTTACTAGACATTTTTTTTACACTTTGAAGAGCATTTTCATAACCCCAGTATTTCCTGCCATTAATCTTACCCCCAGGTCCATCTGGGTCACCACTCTCCTCCCATATCTTCCTTGTTTCTTCATCTGTCAATCTATAAATAGAGATAGGTCAAGGACTGAAGGTTGTATACTTTTACACTGGAAGACCTTGTATAAATATATGCTGCTATTTCAGTGCTGATGTGCTGAATTATGCTAAAACAGTGTGGATTAAAATAAAGTCATTCAACTGTATTATTCAACCTTTCAGGCAAAAAAATTGAGAAAGTCATGAAATACAAGCAAATGTATATAAGAGACTCAATGACCAGAAATGCAGAATGATATTTATCAAATTAATGAAAATTCTGAAGACCCAATTGGCAAAAATTATAGAACTTACGCTGTGTAGGCTTTGGCAATTTTCATGAACTTTTTGTGGTCCCCTGTAGGTTTGTCTGGATGGTATTTCAAACTTAGTTTTTTGTATGCCTTTTTAATCTCTTCTTTTGTTGCTCCCTATAAGTAAATGCATTTACACAGAATTTGTTCTAAAAATTGTTTTTCAATATGAAATCATTTTTTTCATTAATTGTTCAAAATAGATGTCACCTTTTGCTGTGACCTATTTAACCCTATGCTTGAGGTGTGACTAGTTGTCATTCTGTTAAAAAACACACTTACCACATCCAGTCCCAGTTCAGCATATGGATCATATTCCTGGTACTCTATATGGATCTGGGAAACCTTGTAGGCCAGCAGGGCAAAAATTATCCATGCTATTATGAAAACCACTTTCCTAAAAAAAAAAATTCATAGTTATCAATTTAAATGACTAGCATGATTTTAAATTTCATCCTTACATGAACATTAACACATGCTATATCTATATATAGACTGCAGAACTGTGTTTTAAATTTTATAATTATAGAAAGTAATTCACCAAATGTAGAAATAATTTATTTTTATCATATCAAAATGATCAATGAAAATGACCCATACCGAAAAAAGTTATAACTTAGTTATAACTTTTGTAACTAAAAAAAGTTACAAAAAAGTTATAACTAAGTTATCGGAGTTTGGAATGGCATGTTTTAAGTGAGGTATAATTTAGTTATAACTTAGTTACAAAAAAGTTATAACTTTTGCATAACTTTTCACCTTTTATTCAACATAAATACAGAAAGTACATAAAAAGTTATAAAAAAGTTATAACTACAAAAAGTTATACTTATTAAAAGTTACACAAAAAGTTATAAAATAGTTACAAAGTTATACTTTAGTTATACCCAAATAAACAGTGGAAAAGTTACAAAAAAGTTATACCCAAAAAAAGTTATGAAAAAGTTACAAAAAAGTTATACCCGGAAAAAGTTATACCCAGGAAAAGTTATAACTAAAAAAAGTTATACCTATTATAAAGTTATGAAAAAGTTACAAAAAAGTTATACCCCAAGAAAGTTATGAAAAAGTTATAGAAAAGTTATACCTAAAAAAAGTTATAACTGCAAAAAGTTATAACTATAAAAAGTTATACCTATTAATAAAAACTTTCGTAAAAGTTCCAGTGAAATTATACACTGTATGTTAACCTGTTGTGGATTTACTCAGTTATAAGCTTTTAAAAAGCTACTCATTAAAATTTAAAAAAAAAAAGATTTTTGAAATTTATACAAAAAAGATTATTTAAAACATATTAAAGGCAATAACAATTTTACCTAACAAACACGATAAAGATAACTTGGTTTATTGTCAAATACAACTAAATGAATGCACATGCAATTGTTTTCAAAATTCAAGTGTACCTTATTTTTCATCATGTCATCTACAACAGATTGAAATTTCTCTGGTTGTTTTAAAGAATACATTTTTAGCATATAGCAATTAGGGTCTTTGTAAAATTACCTAGCAAACTGCATTCTACTCTTGCTAATTGTATAAACAGACATCACTAATTTTTAAATATTAACACCCTATTTATTTTTGATCTAGCTGTATTTCAAAAAAAAGAAAGGTTCTAAACAGTGATTTCAGTTACAGTTTCTAGCTGCATACCACCCTCCTTGCACAGGTATCCTTGCAGGTGTACAGTTGTTTATCTTTATTATTTGAAGATAGGCTGCACTGAAAGTTGGCTGAGTTAGCTGACAGACTTAGCCATCGTTTGACAGGCCGCACTGGTAGTAGACCAAGTTAGCTGACAGACTTAGCCATTGTTTGACAGGCCGCACTGGTAGTAGACCAAGTTAGTTGAAGGACTTGGCCATCGTTTGACAGGCCGCACTGGTAGTAGACCAAGTTAGCTGACAGACTTAGCCATCGTTTGACAGGCCACACAGGTAGTAGGCCAAGTTAGTTGAAGGACTTGGCCATCGTTTGACAGGCCGCACTGGTAGTTGGTCAAGATAGTTGACGGACTTGGCCATCCCTTGACAGGTCGCATCTGTAGTTGGTCAAGTTAGTTGACGGACTTAACCGTCCCTTGACAAGCCGCACTGGTAGAAGGCCAAGTTAGTCAACGGTCTTAACCGTCCCTATATTGACAGGCCGTACTGGTAGTAAGCCGAGCTAGTTGACGAACTTGGCCATCTCTTGACATGCGGCACTGGTAGTAGGTTAAGTTAGTTGACGGACTTGACCATCCCTTGAAAAGCCGCTCTGGTAGTAAGCCAATCTAGTTGATGGACTTGGTTGTTCAATGACAGGCCGCACTGGTAATAGGCCAAGTTAGTTGAAGGACTTGACAGGCTGCACTGGTAGTCAGCCGAGCTAGTTGATGGACTTGGTCATCCCTTGACAGGCCGCACTGGGTCAGCCGAGCTGGCCGAGGGACTTGGCTGGTGGTCTGCGTCCCTCATTTTAGCTGGTCAGACGTCTTGGCTGGCGGGCAGTGTGACTGGTAGTCGGCTAAGTTTTTGTTGAAATATGCTTGCAATTTTAACCTTTTCTTCAATTCTGCAAAAAATTGTAAAGCCAAGGTTCAAAAGTTAGATTATAGATATTTAGACAGTATATTTCCAGCACTCATTTGCATATCAAATTGAAAACACTCTTCCATATCAATTAATTCAAATTCATTAATTCATCCAAAACATGGAAAATACAAGACTAATTTAAGATCTATACTTACAGGAATCAGTTTTAGATTGAAAGATTTATTGAATTTTGAAATGAAAAAAAAATTTACTTTACCTTAAACAAGTAATATTTTGAAGAATTTCATGTACTCCAGGTCAGGACAGATTCAGCTCATGGAAACATCATGTACCAATATTCTGCTTTATAAAAAAAAAAGAAAATTAATGTTAAATTACTTATTTCATTGCATTAATTAACGTTGCAGCTAGATCATGTTATGATCATGCTGATGCGTATAAGGCTTCATAATATTTTAACAGTTCAGGGAATCTATAAACAATTGTGGGAATAAATGACAAAGAACAACATATTTGATTAATATACTAAATGCTGAAAAATATTATGCGTTTCAAATACTTTCAATTTGTTTACTTCAGTCTTTGTCATTCGACATACCAATCAAAACAAACAAGAAATCTAAGATTCACATGCCTAGAATTTTCTTAATTCCCAATATTTCTTCTTTTTGGAATGTTATTCCAGAGGTACTAAGTATACTTTACCAAAATCAATAAAATGTTAGCATAAATATCGCCTTACCAACTGGTTTTATCTCCTTTTTTCTATCAACACTTTCAACATCCAAACATTCAAATCGTCCATGGAAAAATCCGCGCTCTGTTATTGACCAATCATAGAACTCAAAAACGTCACGTGATCGAAAAAAATAAATAAATAATTCATAATTAATTTATTTTAAATGCAAATAAACCTAATTGTGTAATTTTAAACTTAAATTAAAAATATAAATACCAGTTGGTGTTAAAATTTTGAATTTATCTTAGTATCAACAAAACGGACATCGGAGGCCGCCATATTTTTTGTTGCCGCCATTTTGAATTTAATATTTGTTTATTTGTGAAAATAACTATTATAACTGGGTTATTTAATTATGCAAACAATAAAATCTACATGTACTAGTCATCTGCTTAAATCTTAATATAACTGGCAGTCTTTATTCACAACATCGTAATATCTGTTCAACATGAACATGCATATACTCTATGCTGTTTTTATCTTTTTAGCCACCCATATTACGACTGATTTTCAACCTGTGTAGAATTGTACCATTCAGAGATTGTGTAATACCCAAGCTGAAATATTTACGATGTGATGGCCACAAAGGTCACCTAGTACAAACACCTGTCTCACAGAAAACAAGAGAAATTTACACAGTTTTGCACACGAAGAATCCGTGCAAAATTCACATGACTTCATGAGATTACATTTCATACTGTTTATATCTCTTGCAGTACATTTATATTTCCCCATAATTATGAAATATATTCATTCCCAACTTCAGATGTAAGTGCATTATTATAATTTACAAGACAAATATTATGTCTCATCAGGGTCTCAATAAATACGTATTTTCTAAGAGAGAGAGAGAGAGAGAAGGAGAGAGAGAAAGAGAGAGAGAGAAATTAATTATTCTCAACTTTAGTTGAAACCTACATGACAAATATCAATTTAAATAGACAATAATATTTATTACACACACATGACATGTACTGTGTACACACCCTCAAACACCAGAGAGAGAGAGAGAGAGAGAGAGAGAGAGAGTTTCTCATTTATAGATGTAATTTACAAGATTTTATTTCACATCCCTTCTGTTGAACTTGACATGGCTGTGGACAGGTATTTATTATGAATGAGAAGTCGATCACTGGTAGTAAACAATATTATTGTTCAGGAATTGACAAAGTTTTCTGCTGCAGTGTTTGAAAAAAAAAACCATTTTGAACATGATCAAAATTCATTCAAATTAACACTTAGTTATAATGTTAATTTTGAAAAAAAAAAAGTCGGTGCATGTCAAGTAGTATCCATTAAATAACCCCCAAAACTTGTAAATTTATACTGGTAATGCTTGAAAATGGCTAAGTTCAGAAAAGTTATGTTTTAGTTATACATGAAAATGACAAAGTCCAGTAAAGTTATGTTTTAGTTATACATGAAAATGGCTAAGTCCAAAAAGTTACATTTTAATTATACATGAAAATCACAAAGTCCAGAAAAGTTATGTTTTAGTTACACGTGAAAATGGCTAAGTCCAAAAAGTTACATTTTAGTTATACATGAAAATGACAAAGTCAAAAAAAGTTACATTTTAGTTATAACTTTTTTGTACCTCACAGGCTAGGTATAACTAAGTTATACTTTAGTTATAACTTAGTTATAACTTTTTTCGGTATGGGGAAGTATAAAATATTAGCCTCACCAAATGAATGGTTAACTTACAATCACTTTGATGTTAATTATGTGATAATAACCAGTTCACTTACAAAACTTTCTCTTTCATTCGGTTCCATTTTGTGCTGGATTTTAATTGATGCCGTTTTATCACACAAGGATCACAGTTACACTCTCTCTTCTTTTTTTCCTTATCATCTGGAAGAAAAAAATCAAAGCTTTGTGATTCAAGTATACCCAACAGCGATTTCAGTACCCAGAGCGCATGTATGGGATATATAAGTATACTTGAATTAGCACCACATTTTTAATATTTGGAATATTCATTATTCCATCAAGATACAGTTTTTCTGCAGGCACGGATCCAGGAATTGAAGTTAGAGGGGGCGCCAAAAATAGGCAGGGGGTCCGGGGGCCAGGATTCTAGAGATTTTGTAGGGTAAACAAGAGATCTACTAAGAAGACATATTAACATTTTCTAGACAAAACTGTGATTTACGCTAACTTTCAATTGATAATTTTAGGGGGCACGTGCAGGGTGAGCCTCCACCCCCCTTTAAATCCGCCGCTGATCTGGCATGTTTACCTACAGTGGTATATTTCAAATCTTATCCATCATACATAGCAAACTTAAAGCCCGAGATAATAAGCACCGCCCTCAGATTTACCTGGTCTGAATCCCCCTGTCAATCAAATAAATTAAGGTCCATCATTGGGTACTTGAAATTGATTGACATTTAGCTATAAGTCCCTGTGTATATCTCTTTAACCTTGTTTGACACGCGTGGCCACCATCAAATTAACTTTCGGTCTTCTGATGTTTACCGCTAAATTACCATCGCAATAAGGAAGCCATTTCGATGCAAACAATTTCAGCTTGATTATAATTAATTAATTACCTGTATTACAAACTTGTCATTAAAAATTGAATCTTTATCTCATTGTATTTCAATAAAATAAAACAAGATTGTGTATATTTTTACTAATGAAGATTGCATTGGTGCAAGAAATCTTGTTTTCCCTCATAAAAATTAAGAACAATTCTTGTTTTGAGACGCGGCGAAAAAGTACGATGAAAATAAAGGAGAAAATAAGCTGGAAACACTTTTTGCATGTAATGAATAACTAAGGATGAAAACAAAATATTTGATAAGTAACAACTTCGCCTGGACAAGTATTAAGAGTTTCTTTCTTTTCTTTTCCTTTTAACTATTGATATTTTTTTTTATATACGATGTCAAATTCTAATAATTTTATGATGAACAGTAGGCCAACAAGCTGTACAGGTAATACTCATGGACTTCCTGTGTATACTGTTTGTGTGTAGGGATTAGCGCTTCCCACATTCTGCACGACCGTCAATGCCTCGGGGTGCCACGCATGTAAAATTTAGTCCCTCCCCTTACCTGAGAAAACCGTACGGTTAAAAATCTCGGCCTTTAAATTTTTAGACTAGGCATGTGGTGCATTTTCAATATCCATGCAAGTAATGCAACCAAAACTACTGTGACATTTGTTCACAAACCTAAGCAATTTAATTTAATAAAAATGATAAAAATACTTGATTGTACTTGAAACTTCAACACACACTCTAGTCACAATATTCTTATTTCTATATCATCATAATGTAATATTCTAACAAAATATTCTAATTCTTTCAGAGATCCTCCAAGTGTTACTGTTACACAAAATGAACAGCTGTGTAATCACCAGGGTCAATTTCTTACCTTCTACAGACTTCCTGGGCCAAAAATAATACGTGGCGGGAATAAGAACGAGGCCCCATAGAGAAAACAAAAAATAGAAGAAGGTTCCTCCTTCCTCGTCGTATTCAAATTGCATCCCAGGCATGTTTATGTCGGTTTTCTGTCTACACCAACGTACACGTCTGTCTAAAAATCAAGCCGGAAGTAGTGATGATAGAGCGGTTTCCAGTCAATTTGACCCTGAATCATTTCGAACAGCAGTCACTTCCGCTTCCCTAAAAAAGAATCGAAAGGTAGAATAGGATGTGTTTCACAGTTTCATGCTATTTTTTTCTTGTAAAAGGACTGATACAAGCCAATATTTGCAATAACTATGACATTTATAAAAAGTTATTATAATTTGTGTTAACAGTGGCAACATGAAAAAAATGTTTCATTCAAAGTCCCAAATACACTGTAGATATGTGTGTGTGTCCTAGAATGATAAAGAACTATATGCGATATATTGCATATGTTTGCCCCCACAAAAGTCAAATTTTGAAAACTTCCTGAAATGTGCTGAATTCAATAAATTGTACGAGAAATATAAGTTAGCAGAAAATATTATAGTTCCAGAGCAGTGTATTCACAATTTCTGTTTTTATGACGTCACAAACTAGTCCGATTTTATATCCTTTTTCAGAAAGAGGACAAAATGGACAAAATTTCAACAATTCAAGCTTTAAAATTTATAGAGCGCATGTGTGTTCAGGAACAATATTGACATATTTCATTGATATTATCATTCTACACATTATATCAAAATATTTATCCTGAACACACATGCGCTCGGTGACTTTTATTTAAAATATCGACAAAATATGTACATTTTTCTACAAAATTCATAAAAAATTGAAATTTACGTCATATTTGTGACGTCATTACGTACATATGACGTCATTACTTATGAAATTATTCAGTGCTTTGAAGTCAGCCTATACTCCCCTGTTTAAGGACTTAATTAAATAGTACTCCCTCAAAGTTTGATTTTGGGGGGCAAATGTTGGTTAATACCGCATATAGTTCTTTTCATTGATTATGAAATAATTGACGAAAGGAGAGAAATCTGAACAACAGAGAAGACTACAATTTATTGATGACACGTATTGATATACACACCAGGCGCGGATCCAGGAATTGAAGTTAGAGGGGGCGCCAAAAGTAGGCAAGGGGTCTGGGGGCCGCCTTGAGGCCCCCAGTGGGTCCATGCAGGGCAAACCCCTGGTGGGGGCTTATGGGGCGAAGCCCCCGGAAGCTCCTGGATTCTAGAGATTTTGTAGTGTAAAAATGAGGTCTACTAAGCGGACATATTTACATTTTCTAGACGAAACTGTGATTTACGTTAACTGACAATTTTATGGGGGGGGGGGGGGGGGCGGCTGCGCCCACCTCTTAAATCCGCCGCTGCACACCAAGCCTAGATAAACAAATATGCATATTCTATATTCTGCATGACGTTTTTTTTAAACCATTGGAGAAAATTTGAATATGGGAATGCCAAGCCCACCCCCATTCCCTCCCACCCCCAAAATAAATAAGATAAAAATAAATTTGTTTTTCATATAAACTAGCTGTGCCTTAACTGTGGTGGTCGAAAGAAGATCTTTTTTTTTTCATTCATTCGTTGACAAGATATTGATTTTGATTTCCTTAAAACTTGATACATGCATATTCCCCTCAATAGTACAAGGCTATCGCACCCGTACGCGCGCGCGAGAGAGAGAGAGAGAGAGAGAGAGAGAGAGAGAGCGCTTTCAGGGGTATATTTAAAGATACAAACTTTAATTTTAGATAAGAGAACATGCAGTGTCGCCTTTTAAATTACACTTGTTTAAAACTCTTCTTTGTTTTAAGTGCGTGACAATTCATCCGTACTGTGAATTTAAATAAGAGAAATGTGTTTTATCAATATTTACAGAGAAACCGAGAGCAAAGATTTATTTTTGGATATGTTTTTCTGTTAACTTTTTGAAACGTTATAATTTTTCCCTCAAACTTCTAGACAGCTACACGTAGGTTTCTTTCTTTACGATATTTTGGACTTTTCTTACTTTTTCTCCCGTATTCATTGGATTATAAAACTTGTGTGTCTGATCTTATCGACTTCATGTTTTGTAAACTTGTGGAATAAACAAGTGAAATGTTTGCATAATTGTGTTTACCATACCAAGGGATACGTGGAACATGTAGAAAAACAGAAAGAAGGAAAAGGAGAAAATAATAGCTTGAATGGACCATGATGTTACAGCATGTTCAGAAAGGGTTAAATTAAAGAATATATCGTGAAAATCCCACAGAAAATCAACCTACATTAAAAGGAACTGGTAAACAAAAATTAAACTTTTTAGCATTTAACATATTATGTAAAAATATATCTTTGTAGTTTCACTCATTTTTTATACAGTTACAGAAGTTTAATTTCTATCTGTCTAAGAAATTGAATAGTTTTGTTCTGAGTATTATACCATCATTTATACACTTAGACCCTTCCCCACTTTTTTTCAATATTTATGGGAAAAAGAGGAATCTTTAAAATAAGTGCATGTAATAACGAAAAATGAGGGAGTTGTTGGGGGTGGGATGGAGGGGTTGACTCATTCCATCAATACGTTTTGCTAAATGATGACTGTATACACATTTTTTTTTTTCAAAAGTGAAATGAAACTTATTTGGTATTAGCCTTAGATTTGTTAAAAAATGACCAACCTCTTCCCTCAAAAAGGATTTTCCCCAATCTTACTAAAATTAGATCTTTAATCCCCTCCAGTTAGATTGCTAATCAAAGATCTTAATGGAGCGGACCAAAAATCTAATTTTAATTAGATTGACATTTCCATTTATATATGTACAATTTCTTCCGATCCGTTAATCCTGTCTTTTTGTCCATCTAGAAACGCCATCTTAATTCTTTGTTTCCAATCACAGATATCATATCAGGTATCAGATAATAATGTGATTCAAAGGATGGGGTGAGATATGGGTAGATGCTCATCCAAACCCTGTTGTGAGATCTCTGACGTCACAACTCTCCCCGAGACCCGCTTGATCAGCGTTCAACCAATCGTTGACGAGGATTTGGCACCAGTCCCGCCCAGTCTCAGAAGAGATGATGTCATTTCCGATCTATCGATGTTCAAGAAAGTCGACAGTTACGCTGCAAAAGTATTTTTTTCTAATTTTTTATAGATACTGTATCGTTGATAACGTTCATCAAGACAATCTGCAGTAAGAAAAAGGCAAATATGACGGATAATTATTTGTAGAGTCAAAAATATATGTGATGTAAACATGTGCATGCACAATAATTAAAATTTTCAAAATTAGATAAAAAAAATTCACAGAAAAAAGAATAGCTTACTTCAATTTAGAGCAAATAATACATTGGTCATAATATACCACAATGCCATTCATAAATATTGTAACAACATTCAAATGTAGCTGCAATAATGTAGCCCTCTCCATTTTTTTTTGGGGGGGGGGGGGAGAGAAAACATCAGATAAGAAAATCGGAGAGGGCTACATTATTGCAGCAACATACAAATGATGATCGAAATACATGTACATGCGTGTTTTATGGAATATTCGTAACTGTTAATAAATTTACCACATCAATTGTATTCAAAGTTTTGCATTAGTAAGAAGTTATAGTCATGGAAAATTGGAATGTTTGCTGTTCTTTATATTGGATTAGAAAGACAACATTTCCTTGAAGTGAAAGAAAAAAGAAGAGCATATACAGTAAACCTCGTAAAATTATTACTAGTAACTACAAACACAGAAAGCGGTCACAATTAGAAGTATGAATAACTTTTTGATATATTTAATTTTGACACAGGCTCCGAAATCCACCGATCTTTCCGTCCATAACCTCGCCAAATACTTGTCTAAGGCGTCTAAGACCAACCTGGGACGAGTTCGGGCCTTCTACCACTGGATCTGTAACCACGTGGAGTAAGTCATTATCCTAGTTTATATGATAGGAAAACTCTGTGTGGTATTTATTTATTATAACATTTAAAAAATAAAATTTTCATGTTCAAAGAGAGATAACTTCCTTCAAATAACCAGTATGAATATTTGGAGTTACTTCTCTTCTCCCATATTAATTACAGAGTGTTCGAAAAGATGCATTATCTGCATGGTTATACCATCAACCTAAGTCTTTTCTGCAAATACTTATTAGAAGTTCATGCAGTTACGGATTATTTGCAATTTAACTGCATTTTTATCGAATTGTTGACTTATGGTACATCCATATGTTTTTTACAGACTAGATCTTCGGTCCTTTCTAAATAACTACAAGAAGCCTGTAGCTGCAGAATTTACAATGCACACAAAAGTGGCTCTTTGCTATGGATATGCTGAACTATTTGCGGAGTTATGCCGGTACTCGCTTCATTAATCAATTAATGTTTTAATGCACTAGTCTTCTTTACCATATCGTATGATCACAACTTTTTAATGTCTTAATTTATTCCGTTGAAATCATCTGTATTTCCATTTATAGATTATCAAACATTCCCGTCAAAACTCTTTACGGATTTGTGAAAGGTTATGGATATAACGCAACAAAACCTTTTAAGTACGCACAAACAACCAATCACGCTTGGAATGCAGTTCACGTGGTCGGACAATGGTGTTTGATTGACTGTACTTTAGGAGCAGGTCACGTGAATGACGAGGGTCATTATAACAGGGAATTCGAAAACTTTTATTTCCTAACCGATCCCGACCAGCTGATTTCTACCCATTTTCCCTACATGGACAACAACAAAAAAGAAAGCAAAGCTTGGCAACTTCTTCAGAAACCTTTGACATTACTAACATTTAATAAGAATGTAAAAAGGACGATAAAATCCTTCAAGTGGGGCGTGGATCTAGTTTCTCATAGACAGGCAGTGATTCAGGTGACGTTGACTGCCACTGTGTTTATAAAAGGGACGTCAAAAATGTTAAACAACGTAGCGGCACGTCTAACAGACACAGACGGTAATGTTCATAAACAGTATACATTAGTGCAAAATCCAGACCAGAACTTATTCTCCATTCGAGTACGTCCTCCAACGATGGGGAAGTTTCGGTTGACAATTCTCGGAAGTATTGACCATAAGGACGCAACCCTCTATGCACTTGTGTCATACATATTGCGTTGTAGGCAAACAGAGCCAAAGGTGTATTTATATCCCAAACATACCGGAGT